GAGGGTGCCAGCCCAAGGTCAGGAGTTTGGATTTTCCTGAGTGCTTAGTGGGAAGGCACTGGCAGGAAAGCACAAATATGCCTTTAAACTATCACTGACAACTATGTGAGGAGTGGAGGACAGGAACGGCCAAGGAGCCATGAGGGCCGAGCGCAGCGGGCAGGCCCCAGGCCCCAGGAGAGCGGACCTGGCTCAGACGTGCTTGGTGGTGGACAGAAGGGCGGGCAGGAGAGATGGCCATCCACTCTGTCTGGGGCGACGGACGCTATCAAAGAGGAGCGTTTGGCCCTGGCTGGTTTGGCTCAGTGGATAGAGCATCAGCCTGTGGACTGAAGGGTCCCGGGTTCGATTCCGGTCAAGGGCACATGCCTGGGTTGTGGGCTCGATCCCCAGTGTGGAGTGTGCAGGAGGCAGCCGGTCACTGATTCTCTCTCATCATTGATGTTTCTCTCTCCCTCTCCTTTCCTCTCTGAAATCAATAAAAATATATTTAAAGACTAACTAATCCATTAATTATTATTATTATTATTTTTTTGTTGTTTTTTTTTAAAGAGGAGCCTTTGGCAGGGTGGAGAGGTGTGAGTCTGGAGTTCAGCCTCAGACATGTGGAACTCGGGGGTCTGTGGGGCGGCCAAGCACAGTGGTAGCTGGATCCTTCAAGCTGGAGTTGAGAGAAGGGGTCTGGGCAGGAGATGGAGAACTGGAGGTATCTGGACATTTAGGAGAGAGGACGGTGGAGAACAGAGAGTGAGGCGACAGCCTTTGGAGCTAGGCAGAGGGGAAGGGGAGGATGAGGGGAGAGTGGGATCACAGAAGGCAGCAGAGAAGGGACAGCTCTGCTCCCTGCCCACGAGGGCCCACTCTCCTGCAGCCTGGGGGTCCTGAGAGCCGTGAAGCAGGGGATGGGGCTGCACCCAGTGGGAGGATGAGCACTGTGAGAGGAGGGGAACAGGGAGAGAGCTTTGTATGGAGGGGAATGGAGGAGGACCAGTGGCTGGAAGGGCATGTAGGACCAAGGAATTGGGGTTTTATTTTTTCTTATAAGACAGGAGATGATTCCACAGAGAAATATTGGTGATCAGAAGAGAAAGAAGTAATCTGCAGGAGTCAGGTCCAGGGAGTTGGAGTGTCAGAGGGTTTCAGGGCCCCAGGCTGGGGGTGTGGCGTTTGAATGTGGAAACATGGGGTGTCTCCATCTAATGGCTTCACTTCATTAAGGCTGAGAGGGCAGGGAGCGGGAGGAAAACCCTGGCCTGCAGCCCCAGGCCCGGTTAAGGTCGGCCACTGGGAAAGAAAGCGGAGGCCACAGTGTGGGCTCCGTCCTTGCCGAAGCTCAGAGCCACTGAGGGGCACGTGCTGCCCAGGGTTGGCGTGGAGGGTGGGAGGCAGTGATGGAACATGAGCCATGCTGTTCCAGGACAAGGGTGAGGCCAGAGGGTGGTGACAGTGGCGAGGGGTCCCTGGCCTGGAAGTACGCATATGGCTGAAGGACTTAGCAGCAGTGCGACAAGGGCACCTAGCAGGAGGCAGAGGAGAGAAACTCAGGAAGAAAGGTGCTTGGTGATGGCGCACTTTCTGGGGAGGACCAGGAACAGGGTGTACCCGGGAAGTGAGGGGCCTCGGGGTTGGGGGAGGGCGTAGAGATGATGACTGAAAAGGCGCTGGTGAGTCATCCGTGTGGATGTTGAAGTCATGGGGAATGGCCTGAGTTGAGGTGGAGGGGGCTGGAGAGCCGGGAGCAGAGAATGAGGGGAAGTGACCAAGACAACAGCTGATGACAGCTTTAGTGGGGAGTGGGTGTTGCCCTTGGAGAAGGGGAGGTGGCCACAAGGAGTTCTGCACGGAGAGCAATCACCACCACAGGGCCGGTGGTGTCCTCAGAAAGCCAGGTTTCAGTGAAGGCCGGAAGGATGGAGGACAATGATGTCTACAGCAAAGTCTGCTGATCGCACAGGCCCCCGTGGAAGTGAGTGAAGACAGAGGGGCACTGGGCAAGTCAGGGCCTATGGCAGTGGTTCTCAACCTTCTGGCCCTTTAAATACAGTTCCTCATGTTGTGACCTAACCATAAAATTATTTTCGTTGCGCCCTGACCGGTTTGGCTCAGTGGATAGAGCGTTGGCCTGAGGACTCAAGGGTCCCAGGTTCGATTCCGGTCAAGGGCATGTGCCTTGGTTTTGGGCACATCCCCAGTAGGGGGTGTGCAGGAGGCAGCTGATCGATGTTTCTAGCTTTCTATCCCTCTCCCTTCCTCTCTGTAGAAATATCAATAAAATATTAAAAAAATTATTTTCGTTGCTACTTCATAACTGTAATGTTGCTACTGTTATGAATCGTAATGTAAATATCTGATATGCAGGATGGTTTTAGGCAACCCCTGTGAAAGGGTCATTCGACCGCCAAAGGGGTCGCGACCCACAGGTTGAGAACCGCTGGCCTATGGCAACAGTGAAGAGACTCACTTGGATGGGTGAAATGGTTGACAAGCACAATGGATGCTTCTCCTTTGATACAGCATTAGTACAGGAGGGAGATGCTTCCTTTGGTGGTATGGTGGCCTCTAGGGAGGAAGCTCCTACAAGCTCTATTCCCCTTTCCATGCATTCACTCCTATTCACTTGTCTATCCAGTGACCTACACATCTATCCATCCATTCACCCACACATCCATCCACCCACCCATCCATCCACCCACCCATCCACCCATTCATTCATCCACCCATCCATTCACCATCCTTCCATCCAACCATCCATCCTTTCATCCATCCACCCACCCATCCACCCACCCATCCATTCACCGTCCATCCACCCACCCATCCACCCATCCACCCACCCACCCACCCACCCATCCTCCTGTTCATCGAGCAGGAGCACCCAGGAGGCTGACACTGTCTGAGTAGCTGTCTGCTCCATCGGAAGGGAAGCATGAGCCAGACCCGAACAAGTCAGCTTCTCGGGAAGGAGGAGCACAAATGTTCTGGGCGAAAGACCTCAGATGTGAGAAGCCTGGCACTTGGGGATGATGGTGGGAGGTCCATGACGCTCAGAGATGTGTTGGGAGATGAGGCTGGAGAGAAGGGCAGTGGGCAGAAGGGAGCGGCCTGCTTTATCTTGGAAGCAAAGGGAAGCCTTTGACATCTGTGACATCTGCCACGGCTTCATAGCTAGGGGTACCATGTGTGCCCTGGATGTGCACCCCAAAGAGGGGACCCTCAGCCTTTCTGGGGTCCCCAGGGCAACACTGCAGGCATCACTGGGGGATTCCTGTTCCCAGGCAGGGGGGTGCTGGCTGCTGAGGCTCTCCTCTGGTGACCATGTGCCAGACATCGGGAGGCCAGGGCCTTCATTCCCCTGTGGTCCAAGCCTAAGCCCATCACGCCCCCCTCTCTGCAGCTCAGAGGCTGGCTGTCTGCCTGCTGTGGCTTTGTTCACTCTCCGCTGCCTGGGAAATCCTATTTGTCCTTTGAGGCCCAGGTCAGAGCCGCCTTCCCGATTCCTTCCCGGCCCCTCACAACTGCAGGAGGGCCTCCTCGTGTGGGGTACCCTCTCCAGCAGCCCAGGGATGCAGTGGGGGACTGGTGTGCATGGAAGGCCAGGCACCACCTGGTGGCAGAGCCCACATGGAGAAGCCCCTGGGAGCGGAGCCCAGGCCACTTTTCCCCGTTGGGGCCTGAGGGCAGGAGGGAGCGTCCTGGCTTCAGGCTAAGGAGGGACTTCGCAGTGGTCACGGTGCTCTGAGGGGCCGGTGTGCTCCTGCTGGCGGGCCTCAGTTTCCTGGTCTGTACAGTGGGACTAGATGCCTGGGGAGGGTTTTCCAGCCCTGACCATCTTGTCCATTGGTGCTACACTGAGATCTTGGTGTATGGAGGTACCACCCAGGGGCTCTTCCCAGGGAGGTTAGTGGTGTGCGGGGTCAGGGTGGTATAGAACCAACCAGGGGGGGCCCTGGCCTCGGGGAGCTGGGTTGGGAGGGCAGAGGAGCTGGACCCATTGGGAGGGAAGAGGCAGGGGCAGGTAGTGGGCCCTGCCCCCCGGGAGGACAGGGACTTGTGGAGAGGGACAGGACACAGCCCTGGGCCTCCAGCCATGCAGTCCTCTCTTCCTGTTGTCTCAGGATGGTCCTGGCAGGATACATCTGCCAGAGTTCCAGACCCAGACCTCCCGGGGTCTGCCAGATCACACACGTGCACACACACACACTAACATGTCAAAGTCCATGTGTTCACATGCACTGACATGTCAAAGACATGTCACATATACACCCACCCCATAAAAACACAGATCCATGCCCACAGATAGACACATATTTACACACACACACACACACACACACACACACACACACACACACGCTCGCACGCACACGCAGGCCATCACGCTGGTAGGAGGGTGGTGGGTGAGGAGCTGAGGGTCCATGCCAGGGTCCTGGGGGGCTGGGCGTGTGCTCAGCTGGGCCAGGCGAGTTATGTGTGTTTGGGGACAAGCCCTGTGGGAAGCATGCGGGGCTGAAGCAGGCAGAGTCGGAGGAGCTAGGGCAGCCAGTGGGCCTGGAGGCTGGACAGAAGTTGGGGCTAAGGACACATGAGGTGGACTCCATGGGACCTGGCGGAGCACGAGGTCCTGGGAAGCCGAGGCTCAGTTCTGGGCATGCTCGGGGACAGTCTGCACTGCGAGGACCCCTCACAGGCAGAAGGGAGGGGCCTTCGGGCAGATATGTGGGGTGCACAAGGCCCAGGTGACCGGCAGGCCTCCCCAATGCAGGATGAGGTCTGAGTATCCCCCGTCAATCTCCTGCTGGCAGCTCAGCCCCGTGGGGCCAGGGGTCTGGGCTGGATCCCGGCCTCGGCCAGGGCTCACTTGGGTGGGTCCCGGGCAGGAGCCGTGGGCAGGGAGCTCCTAGTCCTGTTTCCCGGGGCCCCTGCCCTAGGGGGGTCTGCGCCTGGTTGACATTGTCGCATGAACTCGTGACCCGGCGCCACACTAACCCTGTCCCCTACCCCAGGCCTGGTGAGTGGCTACTCCATGAGCCCCCCGACCCTGAACATCACGGAGGAGACACACGTCATTGACTCCAACGACAGCCTGTCCATCTCCTGCAGGTACTCAGCCCCCAGCCAGCGGAGCAGGGGCTGGGGCCCTCTTGTCTGTCAGGCAGGGGAGACTAAGAACTGAGGCTGGAGATGGCGGTGGAGAGCCCAGGAGGCAGGGCCCGGGCAGAGAGGCCTTGAGGCTTAGTGGGCCTCCCTGGGGGCCCGGGAGCTGGCAGACCCTGCAGACCCAGGCACCCTGCACCCGCCCCCCCACAGCCACCCCTGGTCATTTCACACGGACCACAGACCGTCACCCTGCACCCACCCTTGGGTCACCCTGCACCCACGTCAGCAGCCGCTGTTCAGCCCAGGCCAGTTGCCAATTTCAAAGGCCCCGACATGTTAGCCCCCTGCAGCCCAGCTGTGACCGAGGCCGGACCCCTCGGAGGCCAGCCTGCCGCACAGAGGCCCGAGCCAGGCAGAGGCCGGGACTCAGTGCCCGCTGTGGGCTGGGTGCATGGTGTGTGCCCCGGCACCCGCTGGCCTGACCTCCGGGTGGGCGAGCCTTGGCCCTGGGGCTGCAGTGGAGCCCCTCTTGACCTCTGCCTCCTCTGCCAGGGGGCAGCACCCCCTCCAGTGGGCCTGGCCAGGGGCTCAGGAAGCGCCAGCCACGGGGGAAAAGGACAGTGAAGACCTGGGGTTCGTTCGCGACTGCGAAGGCACGGATGCCCGGCCCTACTGCAAGGTGCTGCTGCTTCCCGAGGCCCACGCCAACGACACGGGCAGCTATGGCTGCTACTACAAGTACATTAAGGCCCGCATCGAGGGCACCACCGCGGCCAGCACTTACGTGTTCGTAAGAGGTGAGGGGCCCAGCCCCACGCGCTCCTGCAGCCCACGAGGTGACAGGCAGGGTCCTGGAGGCGCAGCAGGCCCCCACCCCCACCCTGGCCTCCAGACCTTGAGGGGCTGCCCTGGAGCCCCCACCTGGGCAGAGACCGCCCCAAGCTCCACCTGCCCTTCCCACAAACTGCGCTCTCTCTGCAGACTCGGAGCAGCCGTTCATCAACAAGCCAGGCACACTCCTGGTCGACAGGAAGGACTCCGTGTGGGTGCCCTGCCTGGTGTCCATCCCCGGCCTCAACGTCACCCTGCGCCTGGTACAGCCCCTCACTCCCCACGACCTAGCCCTCCTGTCCTCTCCCTGGGAAAGGCAGCCATTGACCTGGCCAGGAGGAAGGGGGCAGCGGGAGCTGATGGCCACCATATCCCAGCAGCCAAGCTCAGTGCTGCAGCCCGACGGGCAGGACGTGGTGTGGGATGACCGCCGGGGCATGCGGGTGCCCACGCCGCTGCTGCGGGAGACCCTGTATCTGCAGTGCGAGACCACCTGGGGCGGCCAGGCCTTCCTGTCTAACCCTTTCATCGTGCACATCACAGGTAGGGGCTGTCCTGGGCCACGGGGTCCCGGGAGGAAGACTGCAGGGGGAGATGGAGACCCCAGATTCTCAGTGATGGGGCTGTAGGTGCCACAGCGGGTCTTGGTGGGTGCCCTGCGCCCTGCACTCCGGGTGCTGTGCTGGTGAGGGGCTTGGGGATCACTGCTCCTGTGTCGTCAGGCAACGAGCTCTACGACATCCAGCTCTTCCCCAAGAAGTCCATGGAGCTGCTCGTCGGGGAAAAGCTGGTCCTGAACTGCACCGTGTGGGCCGAGTTCAACTCGGGGGTCACCTTCGACTGGGACTACCCAGGGAAGCAGGTAAGGCCGCCGGCTCTGCCAGGGCTGTGCCCGAGCCACCTCCAGGCGTCCCATCCCTGCCCGGCCCACCCTGTGCCGCTCCTGCCTGGCCCGGCACTCTGCCTGCGTGTGGCGGAGGTGCAGACTGCGCTCTGCCCGGAAGCCTTGGTCTGATGGGGACATTTTCCTCCCCCGGGGACGACTCTGGGTGCGTCCGGCTCCGCCGTCACTGCTGGCTGGGCTGGGGGTGCGCCTTTCGTGTCAGCTCTCCGGGCTGCCTGTTCTGACCCTGCCCTTCCCCTGGGCACGGGCAGGCCGAGCGGGGCAAGTGGGTGCCCGAGCGGCGCTCCCAGCAGACCCACACAGAGCTCTCCAGCATCCTGACCATCCACAACGTCAGCCAGCGCGACCTCGGCCCGTACACGTGCGAGGCCAACAATGGCATCCAGCGGTTCCGGGAGAGCACCGAGGTCATCGTGCACCGTACGTCTGGGTGGGGCCCACGTGCCCAGAGGGCCTAGGCGGTCACCGGGCCTGTGAACAAGGCTCCTTGTGCAGCTTGGGCCAGGGTCAGAGGTCATAGTGCACCAAGCAGGATGAAGTCCAGCCCAGGGCAAGGGAGGGCTGAGGGTGGATGGCCTGTCTGGCCCCCACACCCTGCTGGGCAGTGAGCCCCAGTCTACAAGGGTCTGTCCTCGGGGCGCAGGGCCATGGCTGAGGCCCTGGGCAGTGGTGGGTGAGCGATGCCAGCCCCTGGATTTACACCGATGCCTCCCGTCTGGCAGAAAAACCCTTCATCAGCGTCGAGTGGCTCAAGGGCCCCGTCCTGGAAGCCACAGCAGGAGACAAGCTGGTGAAGCTGCCCGTGAAGCTAGCTGCGTACCCCCCACCGGAGTTCCAATGGTACAGTCCCGGCTCCTGCCCCTCATTACCTGCAGGCCTGGCTGACCTTGGGTGAGGAGGGCAGCATCCTCCCAGGCTGGGCCTGTGCGAGGGCCCCCTCTGAAGGCGCTAAGGAGCATGCGTATAACGCGATAATCCAGCCTGGGTTGCTGCTAAACTGTGGAAACTGGTAAATGCCAGCCTCCAGGTGTGTGCGGGTGTGGTGGGTGCAGCAAGGGGCTCCCACTGCCTCCTGCACGTGCTCAGCCTCTGAGGTCCTGCGCCTGGAGCGCATCACAGAGCCCTGCCTGCCTGCAGCAGCGGCTTCAGGTTTCCTAGACCTCGTCCCGACAGCGTGCCACCTCAGAGCCCTCCCATCTAGAATTCGGGGATGCCACAGGGGTTCACAGGCTGTTGGGGGGCCAGGCCTGTGCGGCGTGGCAGTGAGCGAGGGCTTCGTGGATGCCCGCAGGCTGCTGGAGCCCCTAAGTAAGGTCACGGGGTCAGGGAGGGGTCCCTCGGTGGTGGCTCTGCCCTGGCCAGCACTCCTGCAAGCTCCCCCAGAACTCGGGGATCCACAGTGCCCCCCAGCACCCTCAGGTTGCCTGAGCAGCCCACGTGGCCCAACCCTGGGGTGTCACACTCTCACCTGACCTCCATCACAGCGATGAGGAGAAGAGGCCAGGAAAGGGAAGGGCATTCCTGCCTGAGCCCAGAGCCCCCGGGAGCCCACTCTGTGCTTTCCCAGCTGCTAGAGGAGCCGTGCCCTCCAGCCTGGGCACCTCCCTGCAGGCAGAGCCTCTCTGAAAGCGCGGACCTGCGCTCGGCAGGACCCCGGCCGCGGGGAGCAGGCTTCTCTTGGAGGGCCCAGCATCCCCTGATCCTGGGCCCGGGGTGACCCTGCCTCTGAGGCCACAGACTTTGGGGTCCACTGGGGACACCTGGTGCAAGACCAGGGCCCATAAGGCAGGGCCCCGAAGAGCAGGGATGCAGCCTGGAGGCTCCCTCACAGGCGTGGCCTCCTGAGCACCTGGGCCTGACTGTCCTCCAAGGCCCTCAGGACTGACCCAGCCCTGGCTGGGCGGCTGGCTGTGCAGCACCTGGGACCTGGCCCAGGGCCGACCCTCACACAGCCGGCTGCGTAGCACCATTCCCACCACAGCTGGCCTTTCTCTTCTCACTTGGCCAGCATCTTCCTCCAACAAGTGCTCAGCTGTCAGCTGGCCCCTTGTTGGCGGAGACATTTCCCAGGACACTAGTGGTCACCGTGGCCACCACAGCCCACGGGGGCCCACTGCTGGGTATGTGATGACTGAGTGAGTGGGTGGGTGGGAACCTAGTGGACATCCAGGCTGGCCCTCAGCTTCCGAAGCGCCAGACCTCAGCTAGCCCTCACGACCTCGCCAGAAGGGGCACTTCATTTCTTTTTAAAAATACATATATTTTATTGATTTCAGAGAGGAAAGGAGAGGGAGGGAGAGAGAGAAACATCAATGAGAGAGAATCATTGATCTGCTGCCTCCTGCACACCACCTACTGGGAATCGAGCCTGCAACCCAGGCATGTGCCCTTGACCAGAATTGAACAGGGGCCCTTCAGTCCGCAGGCTGACGCTCTATCCACTGAGCCAAACTGGCCAGGGCCATTTCCCCAGTTTTCAGATGAGGACATGGGCTTGAGGCAGTGAAGGGTTTTGCTAGGATCACAGAGGTGGCAGGTGGCAGACTCAGGACAGCACCAGAGCTGCCCGCCCTGCCCTGTGGCCCCAGTCAGTCCCGTCCCTCCCGGTGGGGCTGTGGTGCCACAGTTGAGAAGGGCCCCTGCATCCCCCTCGCTGCTGGCTCTGCCCGAGGGCGGTGCCCCTCCTGGGCCTCCCGGGAAGGCACCCGCCTGGCGAGGACCATGTGTTTCCAGGCAGAGTCCAGAACGGGTGTGCAGCTCAGGACCGGGGGTGCCCCTCCCAGTTCACACGTGCAGCAGCATGCCCTGGGCACCTCCTGGTGCCTGGCACCGCTTCTGTGCAGGGGACGCAGCGGTGAGGGGACAGCCCAGCTCGGGGGGAGCATGGGAAGCAGAGTGTAGGAGAGCAGGCAGCAGAGCAGGGCGAGGGCCCGCTGGTTCCCAGGCTTGTCTGACGAACGGGTGCTTGGTTACATGGAGGAGGGAGGGGGACGGTGAATTCGAGCTCCAGAGGGAGGCAGGGCCCAACAGGGCCAGGGTCCAGGCTGCACCGGGGACTGCACCTCCCTCCTTCACTGAAACCCGTGGGGAAGAGACAGGGCCTGTGGGGAAGGTGTCAGGACACTCCCACGGGGCCTCAGAGCCTGGCGGCTGGAGGCTGGCCCTGGCCACAGACAGGCCGGAGAGGAGGCGCCTGTGGGAAGCCCTGTCTGGACCTCAGTGCTCCTGAGCCTGTGGGGCGTGCTCCTGCCTGGCGGCCACCCCCACAGCTTTAGGCCATCTGCTCTCTGTGCAGGGTCCACTGCCCTCCCCTGCACCCAGCAGCCTCCTGGCCTGCAGGGGTCCTGCTCCCAACAGTGCATTCCAGTTGCAGGGGCTGGGGTGTGGCAGGGAAGGAGGGCAGGGGGGGTGGAGGTGGGAGCCACGGAGCGCCTGAACTCCCTTCCCGGGCCAGGTACAAGGACAGAAAGGTGGTGTCGGGGCGCCACAGTTCACATGCCCTGGTGCTCAAGGAGGTGACCGAGGCCAGCGCAGGCATCTACACCCTCGCCCTGTGGAACTCCATGGCCGGCCTGAAGCGCAACATCAGCCTGGAGCTGGTGGTGAACGGTAGGGGCAGGTGGGAGGGGAGGGGATGGGAGGGCGGGCAGGTGTGGCCAGGGGGCCGGCTGACCAGCTGCCTGCCTGTGCCCCTAGTGCCCCCCAACATCCACGAGAAGGAGGCCTCCTCCCCCAGCATCTACTCCCGCCACAGTCGCCAGGCCCTCACCTGCACTGCCTATGGTGTGCCCCCTCCTCTCAGCGTCCAGTGGTACTGGCGGCCGTGGACGCCCTGCAAGACCTTCGCCCAGCGCAGCCTGTGAGTGTGGCTCCAGCCCTGTGCTCACCCTCAGCCCTGACCCCCACTCACTGCCCGCACCCCTCCCGAGAGCCCTGCTCTAAACGCAAACCCTGACACCATGCACCGCAGCCAACCCCTGGCATCATCCCATCTGAGCAAGGCTCAGACGCCCCTGCAGCCGTCGGGCCCACCCACCTGCCTGGAGAGCAAAGCCCCCAGAGCCGTATCATCAGAGACCCAAGGCTGTGCCTGTGGCGTCCAGGGGGACACTGCTGCCCGGCGGGCAGAGCTGGGCCGCTTTCAGGAGACTTGTGCCGAGCCCCACGCACGCCACCATGCCCTCGCTCCTGAGCTCCTCTGTGCAGCGCGTACAGTCACCCTAAGAGGAGGAGCGGGATCTGAGAAGGGACGTGGCTTTGCCAAGGCCACAGCTGTAAGCAGCGAGCCTGCCCCTCTGCTGGCCATGCCCGCTTCCTTGGGCGCCAACAGGGCAGACAGCTGGGGAGAACTCTCGGTGCAGAGACAACTTGGCCAAGCAGGGGACCGGAGGGGAGGGTGCAGAGGTGGCAGAGGTCTGGAAGGCACTAGAGCCAGGGAAGGGTGCTGAGCAGGGGTGTCAGGTCAGATTGGCCATTTAGCAAGAGATCCTTGTGAGGTGGGAGGGTCCAGGCTGGGGAGGGACAGGCACTGGGGGCCAAGGAGGAGACAGGGCAGCAGCCCCTGTAGGGGCTGTGAGCTCAGCGGGTCAGTGTGGGAGGCTCAAGGGGTGGCCTTTGGGCCTGAGCCACCCACAGCGTCCAAGGCTCATAGATTCTTCTAGAACACAGGCCGAGGGTCACTGCTGGCACCTCCAGATTTGCTTCCCTCTGATGCTTCACCATTTTGTTCTGTACCGACTGACAGGGCCCCAGGGCCACTCTGCTCTGCCAGGGCAGACAAGAGCCTCCCTTGGGGCCCAGGTCCTAGTGGGAGACCCAGTCCCACCTGGCCCCAGGAGGGGCTGCAGCTCTGAAAGAGGGGGTGAGGGGGGGGCCTGGAGCAGGAGTGCTGACTGCTGCCCTTGGGGATCTGGGTGGGCTTTGCAGGAGGGGTGCGTGTGAGTGGGGGGTGGTGGGCACAGCATGCTGGAGGGCGAGCACAGAGCTGCCAAAGGCTGTGTGGCAGTCCCTGCAGGGCCCTGAACATAGAGAGTGGGAGACAGCCCTGGCTGGTGTGCTCAGTGGATAGAGCGTCGGCCTGCAGACTGAAGGGTCCCAAGTTCGATTCCGGTCAAGGGCACAAGCCTGGTTGTGAGCTCCATCCCCAGTGGGGGGCGTGCAGGACAGGCAATCAGTGATTCTCATCATTGATGTTTCTATCTCTCCTCCCTTCCTCTGTGAAATCAATAAGAATCAAAAAGAGTGGGAGACAGTGTTCCAGCAGCAAACGCTCTTGCCCTCTTGCTCACCCCAGCCAAGGCCAGCCTCACCCACGCGGTGTAGAAGGCGACCCTGAATATGACAGAGGCTCAGCCTTACCCCCTTGGGGACCCTCCCCGCCCAGACCTCTGACTGGCCCTTGTCAACCCTCGTCCCCAGCAGCCGGCGGCAGCAGCGGGACCGCATGCCACAGTGCCGGGACTGGAGGGAGGTGACCACGCAGGACGCTGTGAATCCCATCGAGAGCCTGGACACCTGGACGGAGTGTGTGGAGGGGAGGAATAAGGTAGGGGCCAGCCGCGCCACGGACTGGCCGAGAGGAGGAGGGAGGGGAGGCCCTCTCTGGCCTCTGGGTGCCCACCAGGCCTGCAGGGCTCTGGGGGCAGCGGCTGAGGGGTGACCTCTCTGCAGTGTCTGCGCCTCAGCTCCCTTGCCTGCATGTGGGGGGCGGGGAAAGGACCTCTGGCCACTTCCCGAACGAGAAAGATAAGATTCAGGCTGCCCGGCCAGGCCATGGGTCCAGCTGCTCACTGGCTCCAGGCTGGGGGCTGGCCTGGTCCCACCAAAGGCGGCTGAGCCGCTGGCCAGCCTGGGGGCAATGCTGAGAAACGGCCAGGCAGGGGAGGGGACTGAACAAAGGCACCCACTTCCTACGGTCACTTCCTGTTTTCCTACACACCTCCAGAGCCTCTTCCTGTTCCAGGCCTGGCCAGGAAGTGCCCAGCTTAAAGTAGGGGGGGTCTTTGGATGGTAGGCAGGGCTTGTGGCCTACCCTGCCTCCCAGCTTCCTACTTCCCAAGGCCAGCACCCTTCTGGGTGTCTAGGACCAGCCCCTCCCCTTGCCACTACCCCAGGGCGCTGGGAGAGGTGTGTGGGCAGCCCTGGGCAACGGTGCACTTGTCACGAGGATCTCACACCGTGACCTGCTGCTCATCTTAGGCCACAGCCTGACCCTTGACGTGACCCCAGTCTGAATCCTGGCCCTGGCCTGGCCTGGCCTGGCAGCACTAGGCCCCCGTCCCCTCCTGAAATGGCACATCCACCGCCAGAAGCCTTTCTGGCCCTGCCTATGCCGCCCTCTGACCCCAGCCACTGCTGATGCCAGCTTCCACAGCCCGGTCCCCTGACTTTCCCAAGGAGCCCCTCCCCCACCCCCCCGCCCCCCGCTGCTGCCTGAAGGCCTTACTTTCACTCCGGTGCCTCCCATCCCTGGTCTTGTCTCTGAACTCTGTCACCTCAGCCCAGAGCCTCAGTTCCCCCCATTACTCTGGTGGGCACAGCGGCCTCCTTGCAGAAAGGGAAGGTCGGGTGGGGAACTCAGGCAGGAAACAGATCCTCTGCCTGTGCTTTGCCCAGACGGTGAGCAAGCTGGTGATCCAGGATGCCAACGTGTCTGCCATGTACAAATGCATGGTCTTCAACAAGGTGGGCCAGGACGAGCGGCTCATCTACTTCTATGTGACCAGTGAGTGACTTGGGTGGGCCTGGTGGTCAGGGACCAGGTGGGCAGGAGAGGAGAACAAGCCTGGAGAGGACAAGGGGACCAGGTTGGGGTCCCCTGAGGTCCTGGTGGAGCACCCCGGGGAGCTATCCAGGGCCCCAGGGCCCTGAGCCTGGGCAACAGGGCTAGATTTGGAGGACCATGCTGGTCCGCTGGACGGAGTAGCACCCTCTGCCCTCTGCCCCGGAGGCACCCTGACCAGGGGGCTCTCCTGCTCCCCGAAGCCCCACCTAACTGCCTCCCTCCAACCCCCTTCCCAAGCCCTGGATCTGAAGAGGTGGCTCAGGGGTGTGTTTCTCTCTGGGGAGAAGCTCCATAGCTCCCTCAGCTTCTCAAACGTGTCAGTGACCTCAGGAAAGCTGAGGACCCGTGAAAGGAAGTCCCTGGGCTCAGGGGTGTGTGTATGTGGGGGGACCTGGGAGAGAGATGGAGCCAGAGATAACACTTTGGGTGGCGGAGCCCTCAGGAGCCTGACAACGAGTGGCCAGAAGCAGTCAGAGCAAGAAAGCTACTGCTGACAGAGGTGGGGTGTGGCCAACAGCGAGGCAGGATGGGACTCCGGTCCCCACTGAGTCTGGGGACAAAGAACTCACTGATGATGGGGCTACGGGAGAGGGGGGACAGCAGCCAGGTTGGGGCACGACCAGGAGAGAGCTGGAAGGAGGCAGGAGGAGAGCCCGTGGGGCTGACTTCTGTGGATTGGCCCCAGTGGTCAGTGGTCAGTGGTCAGTGAGGGGGAGTGAAGTGGTGAAGAAGACTCTGGTGGTGTCCCTGGCCCAGACCTACCTGATACATAACGTTGGCTGAGAGCTGAGTGAGTCCAGCGGCCAGTGGGCAAGGAAGAGCAAGCACCTGGCAGGTGAGTCAGTGTCACTGTGCAATGTCACAGCGGCTCTTGCTTCCGCTGCAGCCATCCCCGACGGCTTCAGCATTGAGTCCGAGCCCTCGGAGGAGCCCCTGGAGGGCCAGGCCGTGCGCCTGAGCTGCCAGGCTGACAACTACACTTATGAGCATCTGCGCTGGTACCGCCTCAACCTGTCCACGCTGCACGATGCCCACGGGAACCCGCTGCTGCTCGACTGCAAGAACGTGCACCTGTTCGCCACGCCGCTGGCCGCCACCTTGGAAGAGGCAGCGCCGGGGGCTCGCCACGCCACGCTCAGCCTGACCATCCCCCATGTGACACCTGAGCACGAGGGCGACTACGTGTGCGAGGTGCAGGACCGGCACAGCCAGGACAAGCACTGCCACAAGAAGTACCTGTCAGTGCAAGGTGAGCGACAGGGCCTGAGTCTGCGGGCGTGCCCCCTCCCCACCCGCCCCTCCTTCCAGCTTCCCGCCACCCTCTCCTCTCTGGAGAGCCCCTTCCCCGTGCCCTGGGCTCCTGCCCTCACTGTGCCCCTTCCTGACTCCTGCCCGCAGCCCTGGAAGCCCCCCGGCTTACGCAGAACTTGACCGACCTCCTGGTGAACGTGAGCGACTCCCTGGAGATGCGGTGCCCGGTGGCCGGGACGCACGTGCCCAGCATCATGTGGTACAAGGACGAGCGGCCGCTGGAGGAAAAGTCTGGTAGGGAAGGGCCCGGGCGGGCGCAGAGCGGGTGTGGAGGCCCGGGACGCCCAGGCCCCAGGCCCGTCTAGACCCAACCTGCACCCGCCTCCTGCAGGGATCGATCTGGCCGACTCGAACCAGAAGCTGAGCATCCAGCGCGTGCGCGAGGAGGACGCTGGCCGCTACCTGTGCAGCGTGTGCAACGCCAAGGGCTGCGTCAACTCCTCGGCCAGCGTGGCCGTGGAAGGTCCGCCTCATCTCACACCCTCCCACCCCCGCCCCCCACCCCCGCCCCAGCACCTGGCGGCTTCTCGCGGCCACCAGAAGGGGCGCTCTCGGGGCGCACCCTCTGCGCGCACGCACACAGCTGTTTCTGCCACGCAGGCTCCGAGGACCGGGGCAGCATGGAGATCGTGATCCTTGTTGGCACCGGGGTCATCGCGGTCTTCTTCTGGGTCCTCCTCATCATCATTTTCTGTAACATGAGGAGGGTGAGCGCTCCTCGCCCAGCTCCCGTGGGGTTCTCTCCACCTGGCCAGCCCCAAACATAAGGAATAGGGTCCCTGTCCAGCTGCGTGGGAGCCTCGCCTCCCTGGAAATCTCCCCGACCACTCCCGGCGGGCTCTGAGCGACCAGAGACTGCCCCACGCCCTCTCCTTAGCGGAGCCTCGAGGGAGATCCCAAATGTCTGGGCAGTTTTCACGAGTCACATGCGCCCTGACCAACGCTGTCCACCCCCCCCCCCCCCCAGCCAGCCCACGCAGACATCAAGACCGGCTACCTGTCCATCATCATGGACCCCGGGGAGGTGCCCCTGGAGGAGCAGTGCGAATACCTGTCCTACGATGCCAGCCAGTGGGAGTTCCCCCGGGACCGGCTGCACCTCGGTGAGGCCAGCCCCCGGCCTGCCCCCTCCCGGTCGGACCTGGCAGAGGCGGCTTGGCGGCTGCAGAGCAGCAGGCTGGAGCCCCGAACCCATCCACTCTCAGAACCCATGCCAGGAAGTCCCGCCTGGCCCCCACCTGGCTGACCCGTGCATCTGGGGGCACCCCAGGAGCCCGCCAGGCCTCCCCGTTCCCAGGCCCCGGGGTCACGGGCCGCCGCTCTGAGCAGGGTGGGCCCAGCACACCTGCTGGGAGAGGATGCAGGCCTTCCTGTCTGCCGCTCCTCTCCCTCTGCCCCTGCGCTCCGCTCTTCCTGTTTGGCAGGGGGGCTCCCGACCTTCCTCCCGCTCCTGGGCCTGCCTTCCTGCCCTCCGCACGGGCTGCCCGGCGGCCGTCCCCTCCCCCTCACCTTCGCCAGCTCACCTGGAAGCCTGCTGCCCCACAGGGAGAGTCCTGGGCCACGGCGCCTTCGGGAAGGTGGTGGAAGCCTCGGCGTTCGGGATCCACAAGGGCAGCAGCTGTGACACGGTGGCCGTGAAGATGCTGAAAGGTGTGGGGTCGGCGGTGACGAGCAGCGGCTCTGGGCGGGCGGGTGGAGGTGGCGCAGGAGGAAGACACCAGAGCCAGGGACTCACAAGGTTCCACAGGAGCCCACGGGCGGCAGAGCCGGGCCTGGGCTCGGGGCCGAGGAACCCTCCTGCCGCAGAGGGCGGCTGGGCGGTGCCGGGGACCCTGCGCCCCGCGGGCCGGAGGCTGGAGGTGACTTCGCTAAGCGCAGGGGCTGGGGCCCTGGCGGGCGGACCCGGCACCAGGCCAAGACTCTGTGTCGCCTCCAGAGGGCGCCACAGCCAGCGAGCACCGCGCCCTGATGTCGGAGCTCAAGATCCTGATCCACATCGGTAACCACCTCAACGTGGTCAACCTCCTGGGGGCGTGCACCAAGCCTAACGGTACGCGCCCGGGCGCCCGGGGAGGGGGGGGGGGGCGCCGGGGGCTGGGGTGCGAGGGGCCAGCAGGTCGGGGGGGCGGGAACCCTGCTGCAATGCTGACTCTTCCGCGCGCCCTCGGCCCCCAACACCCCGCCTCTGCCCTGCCCGCCCCGCCCCAGGCCCCCTCATGGTGATCGTGGAGTTCTGCAAATACGGCAACCTCTCCAACTTCCTGCGCGCCAAGCGGGAGGCCTTCAGCCCCTACGCAGTAAGTGGGCGCCCTGCCTGGGCCAGAGCTCGCGGTGAGCCCGCGGGGTGCCGAGGTGGGCTGGGCGTGATGCCTCTGCCTCGGGGACGGGGGCTTCGGACCTGCTTTGTGCATCCGCAGGAGAAGTCCCCGGAGCAGCGAAGGCGCTTCCAGGCCATGGTGGAGGGTGCCAGGGCCGACAGGAGGCGGAGGCCGGGGAGCAGTGACAGGGCCCTCCTGACAAGGCTCCTGATGGGCAAGGGCGAGGCGGCCCGGGCCACTCGGACCCAGGAAGGTACGAGCCTGGCTTCCTCGTGCCCAAAATGTGGCGGCACCAAAATACCTCATGACCCGGGGGCTGTGGGACAAGCCGGCCGGGGCCTCTTCCAGGAACTGGTGGAAGAGGGCACATACATGGGAGAGCATGTGATGGGTTGTGCCTTAGGAAGGGGGGGGGGCCAGAGGGCTTCTTAGCTAGTGCCAGGGGCCTCAGCACTAGAGATGAGCCCGTGGGGTGCCGATGCAGCAAGGATTAGGCGAACAAACACTCCCCTTGGGGTGGCATGGAAGACGGGGATCATGGAGGGGGACCCCCTCTCGAGCCCGCCTTGCTCCTCTATGCAGCTGAGGACCTGTGGCTGAGCCCGCTGACCATGGAAGACCTTGTCTGCTACAGCTTCCAGGTGGCCCGGGGGATGGAGTTCCTGGCCTCCCGCAAGGTGACTGCCTGCAGGCCCTTCAGAGGGGAGGGGCCGGGCCCCACCAGCACGCCCTGATGTGAGCAGCCCAGCTCACCCACAGCGACCTGAGGTCCAGGCCTCTCACACTTGGCAGAGGACAAAACTGAGCCCCAAGTGTGGGACTAGCTTCCCAAGGTTCCCGCTGGTCAGTGGCAGAACTGGATGTGGCGTCAGACTCTGTCCCACATCTTCACGAGCCCTCACCATGGCCAGTCCGGGGTGCACAGGATCTGTGGCCGTGGCCATGGCCAGTCCCGGGTGCACAGGATCTGTGGCCGTGGCCACGGCCAGTCCCAGGTGCACAGGATCTGTGGCCGTGGCCATGGCCAGTCCCGGGTGCACAGGATCTGCGGCCGTGGCCATGGCCAGTTCGGGGTGCACAGGATCTGCGGCCGTGGCCATGGCCAGTCCCGGGTGCACAGGATCTGTGGCCGTGGCCATGGCCAATCCCGGGTGCACAGGATCTGTGGCCGTGGCCATGGCCAGTCCCGGGTGCACAGGATCTGTGGCCGTGGCCATGGCCAGTTCGGGGTGCACAGGATCTGTGGCCGTGGCCATGGCCAGTCCCAGGTGCACAGGATCTGTGGCCGTGGCCATGGCCAGTCCCAGGTGCACAGGATCTGCGGCCGTGGCCATGGCCAGTTTGGGGTGCACAGGATCTGTGGCCGTGGCCATGGCCAGTCCCGGGTGCACAGGATCTGTGGCCGTGGCCATGGCCAATCCCGGGTGCACAGGATCTGTGGCCGTGGCTGTGGCCATGGCCAGTCCAGGTGCACAGGATCTGTGGCCGGGCGGGCGCCTTTGCTGACCTTCCTCGTGCCCCCAGTGCATCCACAGAGACCTGGCTGCGCGGAACATCCTGCTGTCGGAGAGCGACGTGGTGAAGATCTGCGACTTCGGCCTGGCCCGGGACGTCTACAAGGACCCCGACTACGTGCGCAAGGGCAGCGTGAGTGCGGCCCTGGCTCCTGCCAGGCGGGGGGGCGGAAGGTCTGAGGGCTGCAGAGACCCCAGCGACCGCCTAGGCGTACTGGCAGGGAGTGGGGGCAGGGAGTGCGGACAGGAGCTGAGGCCAGGGGGCAGGGAGTGCGGACGGGAGCTGAGGCCAGGGGGCAGGGAGTGCGGACGGGAGCTGAGGTCAGGGACCACGCTGCTCCAGTCGGGCTGGGGCCACGGGTTGGACGCTGACCCCTCTGCCCGCCGGGGGCTGCCCATGCAGAGGCGCACCCAGCCCGGTCCGTCCTGGAGCTGGACAGCCAGCGCAGGGCAGCCATAGGCCCGTGGGTGACAGGTGCGTCCTGGTTGGTGGCACGCAGGTGGGCAGGCAGGCACCTGAAGGAGGGCCCACGGCTGATTAAAGGTTTGCTCCAGAGGAAGGAAGAGGGCTGGAGGGAGGCAGGGCCAGCAGGGGTCCCATCTGTGACAGGCCACTGTGCAGAGGCTTTGTCTCGCACTCTGACTCACAGGCAGAATGTAGGGCATGTGGCCGTGAGGGCAGGTGTGTGTGGAGGTGAGGGCAGGTGTGTGGGTGAGGTGAGGGCAGGTGTGTGGGTGAGGTGAGGGCAGGTGTGTGGGTGGTGGTGAGGCAGGTGTGTGGGTGGAGGTGAGGGCAGGTGTGTGGGTGAGGTGAGGGCAGGTGTGTGGCTGGCGGTGAGGCAGGTGTGTGTGTGTAGGTGAGGGGCAGGTGTGTGTAGGTGAGGGGCAGGTGGGTGGAGGTGAGGGGCAGGTGTGAGGGTGAGGTGAGGGGCAGGTGTGTGGGTGAGGTGAGGGGCAGGTGTGTGGGTGAGGTGAGGGGCAGGTGTGTGGGTGGAGGTGAGGGGCAGGTGTGTGGGTGGAGGTGAGGGCAGGTGTGTGGGTGGAGGTGAGGGGCAGGTGTGTGGGTGAGGTGAGGGCAGGTGTGTGGGTGAGGTGAGGGCAGGTGTGTGGGTGAGGTGAGGGGCAGGTGTGTGGGTGAGGTGAGGGCAGGTGTGTGGGTGAGGTGAGGGCAGGTGTGTGGGTGAGGTGAGGGCAGGTGTGTGGGTGGCGGTGAGGCAGGTGTGTGTGTGTAGGTGAGGGGCAGGTGTGTGGAGGTGAGGGGCAGGTGTGTGGAGGTGAGGGGCAGGTGTGTGTGTGGAGGTGAGGGGCAGGTGTGTGGGTGAGGTGAGGGCAGGTGTGTGGGTGAGGTGAGGGGAGGTGTGTGGGTGGAGGTGAGGGGCAGGTGTGTGGGTGGAGGTGAGGGCAGGTGTGTGGGTGGAGGTGAGGGGCAGGTGTGTGGGTGGAGGTGAGGGCAGGTGTGTGGGTGAGGTGAAGGGCAGGTGTGTGAGGCCATGGCCTCAGGGATCCCAGCTAGAGGTCATCAATGGGAGAGACAGGGTGGGGAAGCGTCAGTGGCTCCAGGCTTCGGGACGGGACCAGGTGAGTGATGAGGTGGGAGAAGAGGCCTGTGGGTCCCTAGTTCCTCCAGGGGCTGGACTGAGGGCTGGCGTGGAGGAGGGTGAAGAGCTCCTGGGTGAGTGCGGGGCCACAGGGACCCGGACAGCGCAGAGGTGCCTTCGGGAGGTGCCAGCACCTCGGGGCGTGCAGGGGAGCAGGGCGAGTTGCAGGAGCCGTCTGAGCAAACACAGGGCTGGCCCCAGAGTGCGGGAGAAGCCAGGGACCGGAGGTGGCTGCCTGGGGTGTGGCCCCTCCTCTCGTCCTCCCTGTGGGCTCACGCCCTCTGCCTCCCGCAGGCCCGGCTGCCCCTGAAGTGGATGGCGCCCGAGAGCATCTTCGACAAGGTGTACACCACGCAGAGCGACGTGTGGTCCTTCGGGGTGCTGCTCTGGGAGATCTTCTCCCTGGGTGAGTGCAGGGCGGGGTGCGGGGAGGGGCAGGTGGGACCACAGGCTCCAGGCCCACCAGCCTGGTGCAGGCAGCGCCGCCCTGGAGCCTGGAGCGGGCAGCCAGGTCTTCTGAGGCAGGAGTTTTGAGAACCCCCTCCTCCCCCGCATGGGCTGGGACAGAGCCTGTCCCGGAGAGGGAGGGGCATAGGGGGTCCCCCCAGTCTCCTCCCTGCCCCAGCCCTTCCCCACCTGCTGTGGGGGTGCTGCTCTTGCTTCAAGGGCTGGGAAAGGATGGCACTCACTCTGGGACACTCCTACTTATGAAGCCCCACAGGGGAGCCTCGGCCCCGCTGGGACCCAGACCGCCCTGGCTGGGGTGGGGCAGGGCATGGCAGTGGGGAAGGGAGAGCACTGGACGGCCACTGTGAGTGCTGTGGCTAAGTAAGAGCACGGCAGGCCCTGGAAGCTTGCGTGGTGTGAGCTGGAGGGCCCGGGAGGGGCTGGCCTGGGGAAGGGGCGGGTGAGGCGGGTGGGCCTGGGAGGACAGCAGCCAGGGCCAGGGTCCTGAATGTGGGAGGGGGTCAATGGGTGCAGCAGGAGAAGGAGAGGTGACCCTTGCAGCTCCTTTGGGCCGTCCGGGCTGGGCGAGGGCCTGGAGGGTCAGTCTGATGGGAGTGCGGGGCTTGAGCGAGGGGAGGAGGCTGACTCCCGGCTCTGTGGCTTGCCCTGGGGGCAGAGGGCGGCCCAGAGGCCCCTAGGACCCTGATGATGTTGGAACTCTCTCTAAAGCAGTGGTTCTCAACCTTCCTAACGCCGCGACCCTTTAATACAGTTCCTCATGCTGTGGTGACCCCCAATTCATTGTTACAAATGGAACGTAATTAAAGCATAGTGATTCCTCACATGAACAATATGCAATTATACATGTGTCCTCTGATGGTCTTAGGCGACCCCTGTGAAAGGGTCGTTCCCACAGGTTGAGAACCGCTGCTCTAAAGCTCGATGCTTGCTGCAGCCCTAGCGGGCAGTGCACCCCATATATATACACACTAATTAATTAAGTTCAGAGAGGAAGGGAGAGGGAAGAGATAGAAACATCAGTGATGAGAGAGGATCATGGATCGGCTGCCTCCTACACACCCCACACTGGGGATCGAGTCAGCAACCCGGGCATGTGCCTGACCGAGAATCGAACCATGACCTCAAGGTTCATAGGTCAATGCTCAACCACTGAGCCACGCCGCCGGGTGCCACCCCCTATTTTAACCAGATGAAGAACTGGCCCTGGGGGAGGGGAGCGCCTTGCCCAGGCCCCTGCCAGGAGCTACAGGACAAGCACCCCAACATGGGGGTCAGGGCGGAGGCGACTTGGGAGGCTGGGCTGAGCAGCAGTGGCCTGCGCCCCACCCGCCCCTCCCCATTCCGCTGCCAGGGGCCTCCCCGTACCCTGGGGTGCAGATCAATGAGGAATTCTGCCAGCGGCTGAAAGAGGGCACCCGGATGAGGGCGCCGGAGCTGGCCACTCCTGCCATGTGAGTCTGCTGGCCAAGCACGCTTTGGGGGTCAGGAGAGGTGGGCAGGGAGGGGGCATGCAGGTGCGGCAGGAGGAGGGGGGGTGCAGGCAGGGTGGGGGGGAGACCTGCAGACACAGTATCTCACTCCACCCCTCTCCGTCCTGAAGGCAGAGGGGGAGGGGATGCCTGAGCCCTGGGGGAGGGGCCGGGCCGGTGGGTGTGAGGGCCGAGGCGGGGCTGGGGGCGGGCACAGGGTGCGGGCCCTCACACCCCGGGCCAGCAGCACTTTCCTGCAGACGCCGCATCATGCTGAGCTGCTGGTCTGGAGACCCCAGAGAGAGGCCGGCGTTCTCAGAGCTGGTGGAGATGCTGGGGGACCTGCTCCAGGGCGGGGGCCGGCAGGTGAGCCTTCAGTGAGGGCAGAGCCTGCACTGGCCTGGAGGAGCCCCTGCTCCAGGAGGAGAGTGACGTGCCTCCTCCCCCTCCCCGTCCCCCCTCCTCCCTCCCCTTTCCTCACACCCCTGGCCTGCTGCCACCCTGGCCTGCCCTGGCCTGTGTGTCGCTCCCCTGGGGTGCTCTGGGGCCTGGGGGCCTGGAGCCCTGAGCAGGGAGGCCTGCTGCCCAGGCCCCAGGCTCTTGGCATCCAGTTCTGCCTCCGGAAAAGGGTGGGAAAGGCGGGTGCCGATCCTGAGGCGCAGAGCAGGGGCGCCCTGGGGTGCTGCTGCTGCGCCTGCGCCTCTGGCTCCTTTAACCCTCAGCCCAGAGCGAAGCCCTTCTCTGGGGAACCCGCAGGCCTGAGTGCAGGGGCTGAGGGCACAGTGGCCTGACCCCTGCCACCTCTCCCATCCCTGCCACCTCCCCATCCCTGCCACCTCCCCCATCCCTGCCACCTCCCCATCCCTGCCACCTCCCCATCCCTGCCACCTCCCCCACCCCTGCCACCTCCCCCATCCCTGCCACCTCCCCATCCCTGCACCTCCCTCTGCCACTCCCCCATCCCTGCCACCTCCCCCATCCCCTGCCACCTCCCCATCCCTGCCACCTCCCCATCCCTGCCACCTCCCCATCCTGCCACCTCCCCATCCCTCCCCCCCATCCCTGCCACCTCCCCCATCCCTGCCACCTCCCCCACCCCTGCCACTTCCCCATCCCTGCCACTTCCCCCCTCCCTGCCACCAGGAGGAGGAGGAGGACTGCCTGGCGTCCTGTGGCTTGAGCTTGGAGGAGGGCAGCTCGCAGGCGTCCACCACAGCCCTGCACATCGCCGAGGCCACCGAGGAGGACAGCCGGCCAAGCCTGCGCCCACACAGCCTGGCCGCCAGGTCAGCGCCCCCCCCCCCCCCGCCCCGGTCCAGGGGCCCCCCAGCAGGAAGGCAGTTAGACGTGTGTGTTTTATCCTCATCAGTCAGCAAGGACACACCAAGCGACAAGGGCTGGGAGACCACTATGCCCACTGAACCGCAGGGATCGTAGGTGGCAGAGCTGGTGCTGGTGGTGACGCCTCCTGGTCAGCGGGGAGGAGGGTGCAGGGCATGTGGCCTTGCGGCTTTGCTCCTCGCTGTGCCTCCTCGTCCCCCTCTGCCCTCGTCTCCCCTGCAGTCCTAGCCCCCGGGAGGCTCAGTTAGAGGGAGTGCCCATCGGGGAGCGGTAGCCAGGCCAGCTGCGCCTCGCAGGACGAGGGGGTGGGGGAGTGAGGCCAGGGGCCACTGAAGGGGCCCTGGGAGCCAGGTAGGCCACCCACTAACCAGAATCCCGGAGTGAGAACGGAGCCTGGGTCCCAGAATTCCCGTCGGAGGGCTGTTTATGCCCCACATTCCCACTGGCCTGGCCGGGAGGAGGCGCTGACTCCTGCCCACCTGCCCCAGTGCAGATCACAGCCTCACAGCCAGGCGGGGGCAGGAGCAGCCAGCTGGTTCTGGCCAGCTCCTTCCACCCACCCCTGCACACCAGGACCGCCTCCTGCACAGGGCGGCCCCTCCAGGGCCAAGGCCTCCCCAGCCTCCCCACAGCCCCCCCCCCCAGCCTCCCCACACCCCCCCCAGCCTCCCCACACACCCCCCCAGCCTCCCCACACACCCCCCCAGCCTCCCCCCACCCCCCCAGCCTCCCCCACACACACACACCCCAGCCTCCCCACACCCGTTGGGTGCGCTCCACGCCCCTTCCCGCCTCCCAGCAGTGTCCTCAGGAGGTTAAGCCTCTCGCAGGGGGCGTGTGAGTGCCCAGGGGGAGCCCGGGCAGCACTCCAGGCCCAGGGTCCTTCCGGCAGGAGCGGAGTCCGGGGCGGGCCAGAGCTCCGGGAGGACTGTGGGGTGCTTCCTCAGCACCGGCTGTGTTCTCCCCACAGATACTACAACTGTGTGTCCTTCCCGGGGAGCCTGTCCAGAGGGACCCAGGGAACCTCCAGGATGAAAACCTTCGAAGAATTTCCCATGACCCCAACAACCTACAAGGCCTCGGCGGTAAGCGGGGAGGGGCTGTGCACCCCCGCCCAGGGCCTCCTGGCTCTGCAGGAGGCAGGCGGCAGCCAGCTCAGGAGAGAGCCCCCTGCCCCCTGCCCCCTGCAATGCCCAGGCTGCTCAGCGCCTTGGGGGCCGGGGGGTGGGGGGGGCCGCTGCAGTGCCGTCTCAGCTGTTCCCTCCGCACTCACAGCCCTGCCCTCTCTCCCAGCAGCTGCTGGTCCCATTCTCAGCCCTCAGCTTTGGGGCCCTAGCGACAGGGGACTGAGCAGGCCTCGCACGGCTTGGCTTGCCGCCCTGCCCCGGGCGGGCTGAGCGGAGAGGACAGGCCCAGGACGCCTGCTGATCGTGCGGCTCACATGCTGCAGTTCAGCCCAATCTGCTAAAAAGCGCTGTGGCCTCCCGCACCTTCTCCTCCAGCTCACACCCAGTGTCTGCTCCTCCCCGGCCGCCTGCAGACGCGTGGCCGGGCCCAGTGACTTACTCCTCGGCCCCGAGCCCCACTCCCTCCGCACCACGGGCTCGGAAGCCCACCCTGTTGGCTCGGTTCCTCAAGGTGCACCCGTGGCCGTGGCTGAGCCTTCCTGCTGCACGCTGCTCAGCCAGCAGGCGGCTCAACTACACTTTACATCGCAGCAGGCTTTTCTCCCTCTTCCGGGCCCAGTCCAATCAGATCATCTTAGGGGGCTTTTTGGTGTTCGCTTGTTGGTTTGTTGTTTTCAGAATTCCTAGGGTATTTGGCCCGTGTTATCGCATCTCTGGTAAAAGTTCTGCGATCGCACCGGCTAATAGGACATCTTTACATGAGAGGCTGTGAAGAGAAGGGGCACGTGGCCTTTTTCATTAGCCGCAGGCTGGCCCCCGCGTCCCCACAGCCAAACCTCTGCTGCTGGTCCTGCTTGTCTTCTGTCTCAGCGCCCCTCCGCCGAAACCTCGGGCTCCCTGTGTGTCCCGGTGGGGGTGGCGCGGCCCGTCTGCCTGTGGCTGCCCGGGGAGCCGCTGGGCGCCTTCCCACTTCCCACTGAGTCCCCTGGCGCGGTGCCCCCGAAAGTGCACTCCTTGGGCGGGGGGTGGGGGGCTGCCAGGGTGAGGCTGATGTGCATAGTAAATGCTGGAACCCGAGGAGGCAGAGGCGGCACCTGGAAAGCAGAGCCTCCCAAGTCCGCGTGGACTCCCGGCGGGAGCAAGGCTGCCTTGGACACACAGGCTGCTTCCCACCATCGAGCCAATCGCCATATTTCTTCATTCATATACACGCTTAATTTCGTGTGTGTGTGTGTGTGTGTGTGAATCCTCCCCCAGGGATCCTTTCTCCATTGACTTTAAGAGAGAGTGGAAGGGAAGGGAATGGGTGAGACAGAGAGAGAGAGAGAGAGAGAGAGAGACATGGATATGAGAGACACATCAATTGGCTGCTTCCCGCACATGCGCCACCTGGGGGCCGGGGATCGAGCCTGCAACCCTTCAGTCCATGGACCGACGCTCTAACCACTGAGCTCCCGGCCAGGGCTGTGCTTAATTTCTTTAAGTCAAACCATCAGGGCTCTTTTTATTCAGTTCTGAACCATGCACTCCGAGAGGCTGCATCGGGGATCGAATTTGAGTTTCCTGTCGCGACACATTTACTGTAAGACAGACCAGGCACAAACACAAAACCCACCATCTGCAGGGCACCCGGCCGACAAGCAGGCCAGGAGGCCTGGGCTCCCACAGGCATTCCTCGGCCCTCAGCGTTAGGGCCAGGTCAGCCCGGAACCTGTGCCAGACGCAGCTCCTGCCTGGCCAGCCGAAGTCCAGCTCGCACCGGACGGCACCTACCTTCCCAACAACCCGAGACCCAGACAGGAATGGAAACGCTAATGGAAGTGGCCAGGCTCACCCACCCACCTCCCTGCTGAAGCGCTGAAGGAGCCAGGGTCAGGCGGCCACCCCTTCGCTGTCCGGGGGCCAGGCAGCCATTCTGGCGGTAGCACCAAGCGGGGGTCTCCTGGAGGGCAGGTCCCCGTCCACTGGGGACGCTGCCCCTGCTTCCCCAGGTCCTCGGGGCGAAAGGGGGGCTGTTAAGAGAGCTCCATGGGCGTTGCCGTGTTTGTTACCGAACTGCGGGGTTCGCTGCTTGGGTTGCTCTGGTCAAGAGACTGTGGTTGTCACAGGTGGCTTCATCTACTTGCCGCCAGGAGACGGGGGTCCGTAGCCAAGCGGTGCCCCATGTGCCCCGAGGGAAGCCTGGCGATTGCCTAGGCACACGCCTTGGTCATTGCATGTTGACGTCTTCTTTGCCGTTGGCGACAGTTATCTGTTGAGTTCCTGTCAAGGTCATCCTGTTTACAGCTGGTCTGTAAAATACTGTGCTGCGTTGTGAAATTTAGCAAGAATAGCGTTTAAGCCCTGGCTGGTTTGGCTCAGTGGATAGAGCGTCAGCCTGCGGACTGAGGTCATGGGTTCGATTCCGGTCAAGGGCAGAGGCCTGGGTTGTGGGCTCGATCCCCAGTCGGAGGCGTGCAGGAGGCAGCCGATGGATGATTCTCATCATTGATGTTTCTCTCTCTCCCTTCCTCTCTCTGAAATCAATGAAACATATTTTTTTTAAAAATAGCTTTTAATAAGAACTGTCCAGACCCGAGACCTTCGTCCTATCTAACAGCCTGGAAACATGCCTGGCTGCCTTCTAGGTCCCCAGCATAGGGCGCTGTAGCTTCGCTGCCTCCTGAGCCCAGGCCAGGCGCGGCCCCCAGGCCTCAGTTTCCGCCTTTATGGCGGGCGGGCTTACGGCCCTCACCTGTGCGCTTCAGGAGGCGTCGGATGCCTGTTTCCTGCTCAGGAGGCGGGTGTCAGGTTGGCAGCGGTGCAGGTCCATGCGGGGGGCCGCGGGGGGGCACAGCCTCGCTGTTCTCTGCACAGGATAACCAGACGGACAGCGGGATGGTGCTGGCCTCCGAGGAGTTTGAGCAGCTGGAGAGCAGGCACCGACCGGAGGGCGGGCTCAGGTAGGCCTTCCTGAGCCTCCCGGCTAGGGGTCCGGGGAGGTGGGCTGGGCCTGCATGTGTGTCGCCCTCTTCCCTGAACCTTCGGGCTCCCGTTGCCTTTCCGTGTGCTCAGGGCCATCCGCTCTGGGACTCCAGGCCTTTGTCACCAGCTTTCCCAAAGGAGCGCCTTCCCCTCACCGTCCTGACCCAGCACACCCGGTTCTGGTCCCCACGGGTCCTCCCTTCCTTTTGACACCCCCTCTTTGTAAAGCCGAGTATGATCACCGTGCCCAGTGCTCAGACAGCGCAGCAGCCAGGCCCCGCTGGGACTCAGCCCGCGCAATGATGGCTGCCTGCTCCAGAGTACGGGCCGGATGGACGTGGAGACGGGCAGGGGTGTATTTCCAATTAGAACAGACGGGTGGTTGGATGAGGGCGAGAGGAGGGGAGGAAGCAGGATGACGGCCGGCTGTGTGAGCGCGGGGGTCAGGGCTGGTGCCATTTGCGGCGATGGCAGGGCTGGGCGAGAAGCAGGTTTGCGGGACTGAAGCTGGCATTCTCCCGTGTCCCACACCCAGGCTTGGGGCGGGGAAAACCCTGGTGTTGGCCCGGTTTGCTATTTAAGTGGAGCCGGTGTGTACTTCCATCGGCCTGGCACGCACTTAAGTTGACTCAGGTGTGTCTTTGCTGATTCCGGTCAGACCTGGCCCAGGTCCAGTCCCTCCTACTGACGCCCTTCCCTGTGCAGCAGCTGTAAAGGACCCGGCTGGAGCGTGGAGGTGGCCGGGGCGCACCCGGACCCCCAGGGGCGGCGGCGGCGGCCTGACCGGGGCCAGGTGTTCTACAACAGCGAGTACGGGGAGCTGGCCCGGCCCCGCGGCGGGGGCGACTGCACCCCCCTGGCCCGCACGCCCTTCTTCGCAGACAGCAGCTACTGAGGAGGCTGGGCAAGGCCCCGCCCGGGGCGCCCGCAGCTGGCGGCCGTGCCTGGCAGGGCGGGCAGAGGGTCGGAGCTCCAGGCTGGGAACTCATCTCCTTTGGTTCGGCCAGGAGGCCTTCCCTCCACCCTGTCAGCCGCCCCCCCCCCCCCCCCCCCCAGCCATGAAGAGCAAAACCCAGGCTCCAGGGCTCCCCGACCTCCATCACCACCCCTGCCCAGGACTTCCCCCGGGCCCCCTGAGGCCCTTCTCCCTTCAGATCAGATTCCATGTAGCTAACATCCCCAGGGCCCAGCCTGGACCCCACACTCCCAGGGGAATGCCCCTTTGCTGGCCTCCCCCCACGACAGTGGGTGGTAGCGTGACTCCCATTTTCTGAGGAGGAACTCGAGGGTCTGACAGTCTCAGGGGCTGCAGGTGAAGCCAGGCCTGAGCTGCAGCCTCCCGGCCCCGCCTCACTCGCTGCTCCTCCACGCAGCCCCTCCCCGGGGAAGGCCTTCCTTCCCTTGTCGCCCCCGGGCTGAGGGGAGGGTGCCAGACCCCATCCCGAAGCACAAAGAGGAACTGGGGGGGAGCTCCTCCCTGAGCCCCGCCAGCCACCCCCTCGGGCAGCAGGGCCATCACAACGCACCCTCCCCCGATTCTGCGGATCTTTTTCATTAGAACTTCAGAAACAGAGCTGCTATGAAGAATTTACTTTTCAAAACGTCAGTCTGAAGGGCGCACGTTCTCTCAATCTAGAGGATCCTTGCCCCATGGCCCCCCGTGGGCGCCGTCACAGCAGACGCAGCCACAGCCTCTCCTGGAGAAGGTGCGCCCGCTGCCTGGCCCAGGCGGCCTCGAGCAGCCCCACCTGAGAAGACGCCGGGTCCTCCCCTCTGGGACCCGATCTGCTGCCCGCGGGGCCCCTGCCCAGCCGGAAGGTCCTTCCGAGCGGAGGGGCCCAGCCGGAAGGTCCTTCCGAGCGGAGACTCCACAGGCAGGCGCCCAGGCTGGCCCGGGGGACCGCCCAGCGCGCTCCAGGCCCCCAGGCATCGGGATGTTCTGTGGCCTCGGGGGCCGTCTCCTACCGCCTGGTCTCTGCCTGACGTGGGCGCCCTGGCAGTTCAAGCCTCTGTCGTCACCGGGGAGCAGCCAGGACCTCTGGAGGCTGCAGCCAGTCTGCTCAGACCCCCACCCCAGCTCACACTGCCCAGCCACCCACCCTCAGAGGAGATACACCTCCTCCCAGTTAGCACCAGAGGCACCCCCCCCCCCCCCACACACACACACACGAGACGCTTGCAGGACAGGCGCCGTGCAGCGAGCGGGGCCTTGCCCACAGACACCCCCCCCCCCCCCCCCCACTGTGTATCGTTTCTGTAGGGCACCGACACGGGTGACATCTCCGCTGTCCCCGCGGGCCTGCTTCTTGGACGTCACCTGACTGTGAGACCTGGGTCTCAGGGGAACCTGGTAGCAGGGCCCAGAGGCTGTTAGCGGAGCCACGTGTGCTGCAGGTGCACAGCCTGGCCCCGGGCCGCCCTCCTCCTGTCACCGCCGCGCACACAGACATGTACCGGGAAGAACACCTGCCATGCCCTGTACACCGCGTGCTCCGAAAAGATCTGAAATATTTAACAAAAGATAATAATAAATGTGATGCCAGTCTTTGAGTTACGATGAATGGGTGCTCCGTGAAGTGGCAGCTCTCTCTGACGGTTTGGTTCAAGCCTCGAGGCCGCTGGACAGGCCACCAAAGGGAAGGGTGGCAGAGGCAGCTGAGCCTGGACACCCTCTCCCCAAAGCTCCCAGCAGAGGGCGCCAGGGAGGCAGCAGGGCCCCGGGGATCACCCCGCCTGGGTTGGGCGGGCCATAAAGGCGCTCCCCTTTCTACTTTATATCTAAAGTGACAGGGAACTTGGTGGCCAGTGGGTGTGGGGGCGTGGCCCAGAGTGGGCACTCGCCTCCCCGTCTGAGTGCCCACCAGCCTCCGAGGTCGGCGTCTGAGCTGGGACCCTGGTCTCAGCCCCGACCCGGGAGGAGAGCGCCAGCCAGCACAGGGCGGCAGGGCTGCCAGTGGCCCTGCAGGGGGTGTCCATGCAAAATCCCTTCACAAGTGAGCGGCTGCATCGTGGTGGCTGCAGACCGGGGCGTGACCCTCGCCCTCTGGACTCGGCCTTAGCAGGCTTCCTGGGAAGGGCTGACCCAGCAGCGCCCCGGGGGCTCAGGAGGGAAAGCCAACAATGCCCCCTCCACGCGGGGGCCACACAGGAGGGCTGTCAGCGCAGGCCTGTGGGCACCTCACCGGGAGAGCAGAAGAGCCCAGCAAAGATCTCCCTGCCGGCCAGGCCCTGTGCCTGCCCCACCCAGGCCTCTTCCTCCGGGCCCAGGGCCCACTGGGTGCCTGCTCCCCACCCACTACCAGCCGGGTGGTGTCCGCTGTTCAAGCCTCATTTTCAACTCCAGTGGGAAGAGGTGGCGGGTTTGTTGTTCTTACTTTTATAATAAATCTAAACGTGAACACAGAAAAGAGCACCCTCCCTTTGGGTTTGGACGGCTTAACTCTACAATATTATTGGCCGAGTTCAGCGCTTTCCCTGAAAGAGGCCTCAGCCTTGGTGCTGCACTCCCATGTGTGGCGGACAGCCCACTCCCGTGTGCCTGGGTCAGGAGGAGCTTGTCCTCTGGTCCTTGGGCCGATGCGCGGGGCTGCAGTCAGTGTGCCCAGGCCCCAGCCCTGCCTCCCTCCCTCCGCCCAGGGACTCGGCGGGAAAGAGAACCCAGCTGGCAGGAGCAGGGGCCACGGGGGACACACCACGGAGCATCTGTGTGTTCTCATCTTGAGGCCCCTCGGCCCTTGCCGCCTGCTAGGAATCTTCTCCTTTCCTCTCCTCCTCGCAGGCCTCAGCTCTTCAGGGGGCCCCACCACACACCCCTCCTTCCTCCTCTCCCTCTTTTGACAGAGAGCCGTGAATCAAGTCCTTTAGAAGAGGCCAAAGGCACACTTGGTGTCCCTGGGTGCTGTTTATTCCATCCTGACCTTGCACTGCCCTGGGCCCTGCTCTGAGCTGCACATGGTGCCGGGGGACGTCCTCCACGGAGCCCACAGGCACAGTCCCTGCCGTAAGGAGGGACACGTGATGGAGCTCTGCCCAGGAAGAAGGTTAGCTGCAAAGGCCTCTCAGAAGGATGGAGGGGCGGGGAGGGGGGGGCGGGAGAGGAGACGTTGGCAGGGGACCGTCCTTCAGGGCCTGGAAGCCCAAAATTAGGAGTTGGATTTTACTTTAAGACCAGAGGGAAGTTTTGGGAAAGGGTGCTCTGCTTGGACTTACATTAATGCTCAGAGAAGCACGAATCTTGAAGGAACAGAGCGGGGCCTGATGAGGCCTGGGTGGGAGAGCCGGCACACCAGGCTGCTCTGAGGAGCAGCGGAGGCGGCTGAGGGTGACGTGCGAGAGGAGGAAGGGCTCTGCTGTTAGCTGGGCCCTTATCCAGGTTGGATATGCCGGAAAAAAGCCTTTTCCTCAGTGGCTACTGTGATGGTCCCCCGGCACAAACACTGCCCCCTCCAGGCCACTCCTCAGCAGGTCCAGGCCATCTCTCCAGGCTGAGTACTCAGCCCTATAATGGGCCACAGGGAGTGTCCAAGGTCCTGGTCGGTGCCCACGTCACAGGGCCTCTCCCCCAGATGTCGATATGCAGGTTCAGAGGGGGCTGCAGCATCACCGACAAGGCGGTCTCCCTCGGGACCACTGGCCAGGCCCCTGTGCTGAGCTCAGGACAGAGAGCATGGGCCTGCTGGGCTCTGGGGCTGCTCGGGGCTGCGAGAAGGATGTGGCACCTGCGGCTGGGTCACCCTGGGCTAGGCAAGCCCCCCGAAGCCTAATTTTCTTGTCTGGGAGTTGCCATCTTGAAGAGCTTTGGTGATGACATACGAGTTGAAATGTCCCTACGAGTGACCACACTGAGGAAGAAGCCATGACCCCACTGTCAGGTCCTTCAAATGCAACATTTAAGTCAACTGGGAAAGACACTCTCCACAGTGGCATCTGACAAGACCCCTCTCTTCCATCAACTCACCTATCATCTCTGGCATCCACTCATCCATCCACTCACCCATCCACCCACCCATTCATCCATCCATCCATATATTCAACCACTCATCCATCGTCCATCCATCCATCCATCCATCCACCCACTCATCCACTCATCCATCCACTCATCCATCCATCCATCCATCCATCCATCCATCCATCCATCCATCCATGCATTCATCCATCCATCCACTCATCCATCCATCCATCCATCCATCCATCCATCCATCCATCCATCCACTCATCTATTCATCCAGCCATCCATCCACCCACTCATCCACTCATCCATCCACTCATCCATCCATCCATCCATCCATCCATCCATCCATCCATCCATCCCTCCACTCACCCATCCATCCATCCATCCATCCATCCACTCATCCATCCATCCATCCATCCATCCATCCATCCATCCATCCATTCATCCATCCATCCACTCATCCATCCATCCATCCATCCATCCATCCATCCATCCATCCATCCATCCACTCATCCATCCATCCATCCATCCATCCATCCATCCATCCATCCATCCATCCCTCCACTCACCCATCCATCCATCCATCCATCCATCCACTCATCCATCCATCCATCCATCCATCCATCCATCCATCCATCCATCCATCCACTCAGCCATCCATCCACAGACACCCACCCACACAAACGCCCTGCAACCATTGAAGACAGGGACAGAGGCATTCTCTGCTAATGCAGGGCCTTCAGTGAAGACAACAGGTGGAGGAGGTGGGAAGCATGTTTTTAGGATTCGGGTCAAAGTGATGGTAGTAGGGAAAATGCTTTCCTTATATGAGACCCAACTGGGGAGTTCTGGAAGTCAGTGAGCACACTCTGTGCTCTCCATTCACCTAGGACTACTGGCTACAGCATCGCTACAGGGTGAGGGAGTCATCCCGTCCTGGACCTCGTGGGGCACCTGTGCCTCAGAGCCAGCATTTGCAGACAGAAACCCCTTCACTTTCCCGCAAGAGCTGGAAGTGGCAAAGTTTGAGGGAGTGGGGTTTACTGAGGGGCCACTCCAAAGGCTGAGGGAGGAACTCAGAGCACCCGGGAAGCGAGAGCTGAGGGATTTGGAAGGCGATGGGGCAGCATCTGTGAAGGCCAATTAGCCAGGCGCTGCTCTGGGACCCTGCCGCTGGGTAGGCAAGCGTGGTCCCCTTAGGAGGAGGCAGCTCTTCCTCCCAAGAATAGAGGTCCCAGACCTCTTGGGCACAGCCAGCTGTCACAGTCCCTTCCATGGCCCCTGGACGATGGAAGTAACAGGACTGCTGTGAAATCCTTGGGTTCATTGTGTTGAATCAGCTTTGAACAGGGCTCGCTCTGGGGTGGCAAGGGGTACATCTGTGTGGGCGGGCCATGGTCTGGAGTAGACTCTAGAGAGTCTGGGACCTCCTCACTTGGCAGGGGGTTGCTCCCAGCCCCTGTGTCTTCCGAGGGCACCAGGCCTGAGGAGAGACCCAGAGGACTCGGGCAGGTCACTGATGTTCTCTGAGCTGTTTTTTTTTCTGACTGGGAATCCCACTCTATGTAGGGAACCACGACTGAAGGTGGTGGGGCCCCACTCTAGCCCAGGCTGACACACGTAAACTGGACCTAACTATACAGGGCATGGCTTGGCCATGGCTGTGTGGTCAGCACAGCCACTTAGAGCTGGGGAACCCGGGGAAACCTCCTGGACAGCAGTCTGTTCCCCTGAGCCCGAATCCGTTGTCTGAGGTTTGGTACCGCCAGCTGCCAGCTTGTAACCCTGGGGAAGACAGCTCTTTGAAAATGTCAGTCTTTGTAGAATTTAATCCACGCAGGCCAGCTCTTCCATCACTTTCCCGGAGGCCACACAGCTGCCCCTGCCCCCTCCCACCCCCACCCCCCCAGGTAGGGCCCTGCACAGGGAAGGGGCAGAAGGAAGTGCTCAATGAAACCAGATCAATATTGACCCAAGTGAAGGTGCCCACAGAGGCAGGAAGAGGACACGCTGGTGACACTGCCCAGAGCCCCAGGGCCCAGGGGACCGAGCTATGAGGAAGAGGAAGGAGCTGAGGTGGGTGCTGGCAGATTCCTGGAGTGACCCCTGGGCAGGACACCCAGCCCTGCACCTGGCCGGCGAGCCCAACAGCCCTCTTGCTGTGCCCACTGCCCCCCCTTCCCCCGCCCGCCTGTTCCTCTTAAAGCCACTTCAAGGCTCCACTGAGGCGGCTCCATCTCCGCTCCCACAAGAGCCCCGGGTGCGCCTACGTGCCCACCTGCCCTCATGGTGACCACTCACAGCAGGAGAGAAGGGATCTCCTGTGGCTGGCGTGGTCCGAGCCCAGAAGGGCTTCCTGGAGGGTGGCCATGTGGCCAGGGTTCTCCAAGACCAGGCTATTGGAGGGGCTCCCTTAAGGCTGCCCACCGCCCATGGGACCAGGGTGCGGTTTCCAGGCCTGTGTGTGCGCCAGCCCCAGAAATTGAACTCGGAGCAGTTCATACTTGGACACAAGAGACAATCTAAGCCCAAGGGCAGCACACTGCCCAGGGCAGGCCAAACCAGCCCCACACTCAGTGAGCATAGGAGACTGCACGCCCGCGGGTGCGCACAGAAAAGCTAACGGTGGACACCCAGGGCCCCCCAGAGAACTTTGATGATGGGCAGGAACCAAGGCGATAGTGGGGAAGGGGCTCCCACCGCCCACAGGTGGCCACGTCCTCACCACGAGGCGGGTCCACAGGCTGCTCCGGTTCCCCTAATAGCTCCCTTAGCTCACCGGACTCGGGAGCCCTGATCTGGCCTGATAAAAGGAGAATGAGAAGACGAAGGGAGCCCCCGGACCCCCACCATGTGTGGTGGCCTGGCAGGCATGAAGGGTCTGCTGGCCTTGCTGCCTATGTCACCCTCTGCAGGCATTTGTTGACGTCAGAGCCGCGCGGGATGCCCAGGCAGAGGCGGCTGCCCGGGCCCTCGGCTCCTGGTCCCCTCCCACCTCTGTCGGCCTGAGTGCCTGGCTCCGGGGCCTGGCGAGCCCGTGGCCCTTCCCAGCCCTGGGGCCGCCAACGTCCTTGTCTACCTCCAGCACCTCATTCCCAGAGGAGCAGGCCTGGAGCCAATGTTTGTTTTGGCACAAAGGATGCCTGCAAACATTGCTCAGGACAGGCTGAGCGTGAGTCTGAGGGAGGGCTGCCTCAGTGTCACACAGCCCTCTCCCAGCAGGAGGAGGTGTGCAGGAGCCGGCTCGGATGCCCAGGCGGGTGCCGGTGGCGGGTGCCCATCTCGGTGCCTTCCCCTCGTGTCAGCTGCATCCTGACGTCCGTCCGCTGGCCCGGAAGGGGAGGAAGCTGCACAGAGCTTGGAGGTGTGATGGGCTTAGAAGCACCCACAGCCTCCCAGGATTTAATCCCTGAACCTTTGAATGTCACTTTATAAGGAAGGAGTCTTGGCAGACGTAATGAAGTTGGTTATTTTGAGATGAGGAGATTATATCCTTGATTATCCAGTGAGTCCTGAATGCAATCACATGTAATCATAGAGAGAGGCTGAGAGAGATTTCAGAGAGAGAGAGAGAGAGAGAGAGAGAGAGAGAGAGAGAGAAGGCCATGTGACCAGAGGCAGAAGTTGGAGTGATGTAGCCACAAGCCAAAGAATGCTGGCCATCACCAGAAGCTGAGAGGCCATATAGCCTCTAGGGCAGTGGTTCTCAACCTTCTGGCCCTTTAAATACAGTTCCTCATGTTGTGACCCAACCATAAAATTATTTTCGTTGCTACTTCATAACTGTAATGTTGCTACTGTTATGAATCGTCATGTAAATATCTGATATGCAGGATGGTCTCAGGCGACCCCTGTGAAAGGGTCGTTCGACCGCCAAAGGGGTCGCGACTCACAGGTTGAGAACCGCTGCTCTAGAGGGAACACAATTCCTACACCGCCTTGGTTCTGGCTCAGTGATACCAGTTTTCAGGCCGCCAGGACTGTGAGCAAATAAATGAGTGTTGTTTTCAGCCACCAAGAATGTGGTGAGTTGTTAATCGCCCCAGGAAACTAATACACAGATGGCCCCTGGCCCACCAGGCCACCGGGCTCAGGCTGGACCCTCAGCTGCCCCCACTGCCCTGCTGCGGGCGGTTCCCAAGGGCCAGCGCGGGGATCCGTGTGGGTGACCGGTGGGGCCAGCCTGAGTGAGTCCTGCTTGACCATTACGCTCAGGAACCAGAGGCGAGTCCCTTGGTGGGGAAATGGAGACACAATGAGACACACTGTGCTGGGTAACTGGGGGTGTACCTCTGAATTAGAAATCTTGGGGTGCATGTGAAGAGGCTACCACCACTGTGTGGGCTCATAGGAAGCCAGGGACAGGTCCCCCCCAACCACCGTAGGCCAGAGCGGGGGTGGGGGTGTTTTCAGATGAAGAGGGCCAGGAAGGGGCGGGGGACCGCTGAGCGCCTGTGCCCAGACAGCAGCGCTGCCTCCGCCTCCCCGGGCCTCGGGCTCCACTCTGGCCCGCCTGAAGCCGGCCTGTCTGCGTGGTGGATGGTGCCCGGGGTGGCTCCCCACACCCCCCTACGTGGGTCACCTGGGCCAAGGACCCAGTGACCCGTTTGGAGGGGTTCACGCCGGGCTGTGCTTGCTCAGGAGGAGAGCAGTGCCCACACCAAATGTTCATTGAAGAAAGTGCGACTCCGGTCCCCACAGGGAATGGCAGCCTGACCTCGGGCCTCCTGGGAGCCCCGGACGCGCAGGCCCCGTGGTCCGAGCGGTAGGGCCGCCTTGAGAACCGCCCGGCTTCTCCCACCTCCCCCTGGCATAACCACGCCAGCTCTTGCGAGACCCTCAAACACACACACACACTTAGGAAGCTTGACTGGCAGTTCTCAGCTGCCGCGGAGCCTCTCCCCAGGGCGCCCGTCCCCACAGGCAGAGGCGGCTTTCTGTGCCAGAGGGGACAGCGCAGCGGCCACCACAGCCACGGGTGGGCCGAGGACACATGGGAGACTGTGCTGACTCAGGCCGGGGACGGGGCAGACACGGTCTCCTGGGGTTTAATCTGGAAGGAGCTGCTCACTGTGTCCATGTTCTCCTCGCCCACCTTGTGCTCTGTCCCCCCCCCAGGAACCTGCCGCCACTGTAAGGAGCCCCCAGACCCCCGTGGGCCCTGACGCGGAGGGGAGCCGCCTGCTGCCCAGGCTTTCAGGAGGGGCCTGGCCGGAGCGGCCTCCTCCAGCCAGCGCCCCCCTGAGAGGGTGAGGCTCGGGCATCAGGGGTGCGGCCACCGGGCAGCCACCTCTGAATAAGCTCACATTTATAATGCACGCCCCCTCCCCACACCGCCAAGGGGAAATGCACAAGGCGAGCGGAGAGCACGCGCACGCACACGTGTTGCACAGCTGCTAATAGCCGCACGCACCTGCAGGCGGGAGAGCAGGGAGCCCCGCAGCCCAGCCGGGGGGTCCAGGGCTCCCTGAAAAGCCGCATCCCCGGCGAGCCTGTGTCATGGGCTGCGTGTGTTTGGCGTGTCCTGCAGATGAGACATGTGAAACTCTCATGTCAAGACTGATTTCAAAGATGGAGACTGTCCCAGGCCTTCCTGTTGGCCTCGATAGCTGCCCGTGGCCTCTCCATCAATAGCTGCCCGTGGCCTCTCCATCAATAGCTGCCCGACATCCCCAGGCTCTGGAACAGGGAAGCCGGGGTCACAGCCTGGCCCTTCCTCACCCCTGGCCCTCAGCACGGCGAGGCCAGCTGGGGTCCGGCCAGGCACCTCCCTGGAGGGGCAGAGGCCGGGGGCCCGGTGCACACGGCCCCGCCGCATTCCTGCCCTCACCCGGGCCCAGCCAAGAGGAAGTCCCGACACCCAGGCACGGTTGGGGGCACGGGTTTCCCAGGGCCCACCAGCCTGAGCAGGAAGTTGGCCGGCTCGGCCCATTAGTTGAGCAAACAGCGCGTTCTCAGGAGGACAGGGCGGGGGAGGCCCGGCCCCGGGGAGGGGCGAGGATGGGGTATATGAAGCCCCAGGGCCAGACTCCGGGCAGCGTGTCAGGTCCAGGAGCATCCTCGGAGCCCAGCCGCCATGAAGCTCGCCGCTGCCTTCCTGGTGCTCAGCGTGGCCCTGCTCAGCCAGCCCAGTGAGTGCCCCCGGCCTGGGCCCACCCCCCTGAGCGGCTCTGCCTGGCCCAGCCCCCCTCCAGCAGGTCCGGGCCCTGCTGCCTCTGCACCCACCCGGGCACCAGGCTCTGCGGCCCGTCCTGTGGGCCCCTCCCGCCCCGGTTCTCCTCTTCGCCCACCAACCGCAGGCTCTCCCAGCCGCAGGCGGTGTGAGTGCTGGCCTGGTCTGGAAACATCCTGGCTCTGTCACCCTCCCACGCCAGCCCAGGGGTCCTGTCCTCTGGGAACGTGCCCAGGGGTCCCCTCCTCTGGGAACCTGCCCTGGGGTCCCCTCCTCTGGGAACCTGCCCAGGCCCCCACAGAGCTCACCTCCCGCCCTCCCCCGCAGCCAGCTCCCTGCAGCCACAGCTCTGCGGTCGGTCAAGTGGGTGGCCGGGTGCTGGCAGGTTTCAAAGGCCCTGTCACCTCCCGGAGGCGATGGGCCCTCAGCAGCTCTCCTGGGGATGGCCAGGTGGGTGACGCTCCTCCGTCTGCAGTTGCAGCCTTCTTCATGAACATGGCGGCCAAGCCCACGGTCCCGAGCACGGCTGCCCTTGCGCCTGCGGCTGCCCTTGCGCCTGTGGCTGCCCTTGCGCCTGCAGCTGCCCTTGCGCCTGCGGCTGCCCTTGCACCTGCCCTTGCACCTGTGGCTGCCCTTGCGCCTGCGGCTGCCCTTGCACCTGTGGCTGCCCTGGAGGCTGGGGTCGAGAGCGTGGCCGGGGCTGCGGCCCCCTCCTTCTTCAAGGGCTTCAACCCCCTGAGGTTCATCCTGACCAGCATGGGCATCAACGTGGAGCGCCTGGTGGAGGGCTCCAGGAAGTGTGTGACCGAGGTGGGCCCGGACGCCATGGGGGCCATGGGGGCCGTGAAGGCGCTACTGGTGAGTGAGGCGCCTCCCTTGGTGGGCCGCCCTCCCTCGGTGAGCACCCCGTCCGCCCTCTAATCCCTGACAGGGCCACCTCGTTGTCCGCCCCCGTGGGCACTGGGAGGACCGGCCATATCTGAGCGAGGTGGGGCTGCGAGGCCCGGGGAAGGGGCAGGCACGCACAAGGGTCGCCACCTGTGCCTGTCCCCGCAGAGCAGGGGCGTGGTCACCCGCGCAGGGAAACACTCAACCGTGGCTTCTTTCCAGAGAGCCCTGACCTTCTTCGGCTGAGCGGCAGCTGGCGCATCCCTGCCCGCCCGGCGACCAGACGCTGCCGCCTTCAGGCCGGCACCTGCACCAGCCCCACCCGCTCCCTCCCCCTCAATAAACAGTTAAGAGCAGCTCTGGGCTGATGTCTTCTCGCCTCAATGCCCGTCCCTCCCCTGCTGTGAGCCTGTGCTGAAGGGAGAGGGGCTGGGCTGGGAGGGGCACGGAGGGCCATGTGCCCCGACGGAGGGAGAGACTACTGACATTTGGCAGGGGGGGGGGTGGCGGGGCACACAGCCAGCAATGAAAGGTGACAGGACTGGGCAAGTGGCAATTTAGACTGCGTTTGAAAACTAGGCTGGGAATTTTTCCTCGTTCTGGTCTGTAAATGTCCATGAGGCACGGGAATTATCTAACCCTCGACGATGAGCAAGAACTCTCCAAACAGCCCTGGCAGGTTTGGCTCAGTGGTTAGAGTGCGGGCCCATGGACCGAAGGGTCTCGGGTTTGATTCCCGGTCAAGAGCACAAGAACACGTACCTCCGTTTCAGGTCCGATCCCTGGCTCAGGTTGTGGCCTGTGCTGGAGGCAACCAACCAATGTGTCTGTCTCACATGGATCTTTCTCTCGCCCACCCGCCTCCCTCTAAAAATCAATGGAAAAACATCCTCGCGTGACGATTAAAAACAAAAAACCTCTCCAGACAACACCATTTCTTGCTAATATTTGGAAGTTTTGTTTTCCTCCCTTAATCTCAATTTCTCTCCTGGGAGGGGCAGGATTGAGGGCCATGAAAGTCTACAGACTTTTTGCTTTCCCTGTGGTTTCAGTGAAGTAACCTCATGGCCGAGGTTCCTTCTGTCTCCTGGAGGACTGTCCTCGAGGTGGGGAGGCCCCCTGGTGGGGAGGGCCCCTGGTGGGGAGGACCCCCTGGTGGGGAGGGAGGCCCCCTGGTGGGGAGGGAGGACCCCTGGTGGGGAGGGAGGACCCCTGGTGGGAGGACCCCCTGGTGGGGAGGGAGGACCCCTGGTGGGGAGGGAGGACCCCTGGTGGGGAGGACCCCCTGGTGGGGAGGGAGGACCCCCTGGTGGGGAGGGAGGCCCCCTGGTGGGGAGGGCCCGGGGCAGAGCTCCTGTCCTCCGGGAGAGCTGCCAGGGAGGCCTGCTGCTCACCAGGCACAGCCTCTGGCACACCCCACTTCCAGTTTCCTGGGAAGGGCTCTCTGGGTCTTGCCTACCAACACACAGTGGATGAACCAAGGTCATTTTTACCTTTTATGTTAGAGCCTGGGTCTGACTTCTTCTGGTCCTCTCCTGTCTTGACAAGGAAAGTCGGGGATTTAATTTTCAGCCACTTTGACACATTCATAGTCAAACCACAACAGGAGGCCACTTGCATCCAGATCACATCCACATCGTGGTCAGAGGGCGCCGGAGTGTCCCAGGGTCCTGAGCGAGTAAAGCTCTGCTCCGGACACCGAAGCGGTGAGAGAGGACTCCCTGCGCAGCGCGGGTGCAGAAGGCGGTGGGGACGGGACCTCGCTGGCCAGTCGCTCCCGGCATCACACACCCAGGCTCTCGGCGGCTGGTCCGGTAACAGTCCCTGTTATGCTACAGGAATCGCTGGGTCTGCCGTGGGCTTGACAGAGTTCCCATCCCGAGTGGCCCGGCTGCCTCCCACCTGGAGAACCTCCCCCGGGAACAGGGGGGCGGGGGGGGGGGGATCGCAGTGCTGGCAGGAGAAGGAGACCCTGAGAATCATGGGAAGCCCCAAGGCCACCTGCCAGGTCTAGCTTCCCACCTTCTGCAGGTTCCTGGGAAAAGAGACCAACCATAATCCTTGGGAAGAGAAAGCTATTTAAATATCTTATTTTGCTAGTTTCCCTTTGTAACCATGTAAAGATCTTCCTTGATATAAAATACAAAAATTTAAAGCAACTTAAAAAGAAGTGAAATTATAAAAAGAAACCAATAAACCTAACTTTGTTTCCAGTGGTGGTATAAGCAGCATGAAACTACAGGAATTTAACTCTACCTCCTGGGGTTGGGCGTGGGTCCCCAGGCAGGACAAGACTATACAAACGTCTCTTGTTGCTGGCGTTGCCACACTGAGGACATTCTCCACTTGCTCTGTGATAAGTCAAATGAGTCATCACACCAGTGTCACTGAAACCTGAGATTTCTGGTAAAGTTGAAAGTAGACGCTGCTATAGGATCATTGCCCGGCTGGCGTGGCTATGGTTGAGCAGCGACCTATGAACCAGGAGGTCACGGTTCAATTCTCGGTCAGGGCACATACCCAGGCTGTGGGCTCGATCCCCAGTGTGGGGCATGCAGGAGGCAGCCAATAAATGATTCTCTCTCACCATTGATGTTTCTCTCTCTCTCCCTCTCTGAAATCAATAAAAATATTTAATTAAAAAAAGAAAAAAAGAAAGAAAGAAAGGCTGGTGTATCCTCCAGCAGAATAGTGTTCAGAAAAAATAAAAAAGATCAAGAAGGTTTAGTTAAAACCTTATAGCTTGATCTGAACTGGAAGTACAATTGTCCGATGTAGTTTACCTCATCGGCCTCCTGAAAGGACCGAGAAACCAACCAATCAGGCAGCAATGAGAACGGTGCGTCCTGGGAGTGGCCTCCAGTTACCATTTCCCACCTGAGGAAGGAGGAGTCTTTGGAGCAATGTCCAGTTCCAGGCCCGGAGCAGCCAGTGTAAACCTGCACGTCTTTTCATACCTGAACAGAGGGAGGCTGACAGACCATCAGGATTGTGCCGAAAAGACAGTACCATCTGAATAAAGCTCCCTGGCCAGAGATTGGGCAATTCGAACATCACTGATGGTAATAAGTACAAGGGACGGAACTCATCCAATATGATTAAGTCCATGTTTTCTGTTTTTAAAATACATTGTTATTGATTTCAGAGAGGAAGGGAGAGGGAGAGATAGAAACATCAATGATGAGAGAGAATCACTGATTGGCTGCCTCCTGCATGCCCCCTACTGGGGATTGAGCCCGCAACCCAGGCATATGCCCTTGACCGGAATCAAACCTGTGACCCTTCAGTCCGCAGGGTGACGCTCTATCCACTGAGCCAAGCCGGCTAGGGTTGAGTCCATGTTTTAATACAGGGAAAAAGAGTCTGTATGGTAGCCTTTGGAGGACATAGGAAATAAACCCATTAACTTGTATACTGGTAAGTACCAGTATATATTTTTAAATGCTTATCACTTTAAAATGTACGCTGAAATATCTACAGGTGAAATGCTATGTCTGGACTTGGCTTCGAAATAACCCAGGGTGTGCAGAACGGGGGCTAGTTGAACCAAGAGTGGCCACTTAACAGTAACGGAAGCTTGGTGATGGGTGAGTCCAGTCCACTAGATTGTCCTTGCACTTTGGTTATGTCAGAGACACTTCAAAATAGAAAGTTTAAAAAGGAAAGAGCCCTAACCGGTTTGGCTCAGTGGATAGAGTGTTGGCCTGCGGACTGAAAGGTCTCAGGTTTGATTCCGGCCAAGGGCATGTACCTTGGTTGCAGGCACATCCCCAGTAGGGGGTGTGCAGGAGGCAGCTGATCGATGTTTCTCTCTCATCGATGTTTCTAACTCTCTGTCCCTCTTCCTTCCTCTCTGTAAAAAATCAATAAAAAAATATAAAAAAATAAAAATAAATAAAAAGGAGAGTAAAAGAAAACTCAGAGAATACATGCAACACAACTGGTAAAGGGAAATTGTTCTGAGAATATAAAGAATTATGACTCAACTGTAAATGGGCAAAATCCTCAAGAGACATAAAATCATAAGGAGAACCTGAAATAGCAAAACAAAAGGAAAACATCCTTTATTATTAAGGGGAATATACATTGAAACTATAATGAAATACTATTATTCCCACCAGATTACCAAAAATGAAGTCAGCCAAAAACGAGTGCTGGCAAAGTTCTGGAACAATGAAAAGCTACCTCCTGAACGGCCGGTGGGTAAGTGGGAACACACTCTGGATGGGGTGAAGCCATCCGAAGGAGCAACATGCACGTGCCCAAGCCCTCGCACCGTGGCACCTACCAGAATGTTGAGAGCGGAATGGTTTGTAAGGGGACAGAGGAGGAAGAAAACTACAAAGGACTCAAATATACTTGCAGAGAAGAATGGATAAATATATTTTGGAATATCCATATAATGAAAATAAATTAAGTATAACTATTAGAATTGCATTCATTTACGTGAACGAATCTCAACAACATACTGACCAAATAATTCAAGCCCCATAAAGGTGATACAAAAGATTTCATTTACATGTGTTTTGTTTTTAATTTTGATAAACCCTAACTAATCTACCTTTTCCTTTAGTTCCTTTGCTTTTAAGATGTTTTACCCAAGAAACTATTGCCTAAACCAGCATCATAAATATTGATATTTGTGTATTTTTCAAAGAATTTAAAAAAGTTTTAGCTCTTACATTGAGATTTTGGATTAATTTTTGTATATGGTTTGAGGTAGGGGTCCAACTTCATTCTTTTGCTTGTGAATTTTCAGTTGTCCAGCACCGTTGTTGGACACTATCCTTCCCCTTATTGAGATGTCTCGGTGCCTCTGTCACAGATCAAATGACCATAAGTATAAATGTTTCTTTCTGAGCTCTCAATTCACTTCCATTGATCCATATGCCATCCTTATGGCAATATCACTACTGTCTTACAACGCTGTGGCTGTTTAATACGCTTTCAAATCAAGAAGTTAAGTCCTCCAACTTTGTTTTTTTCAAGATTATTTGGCTATTTGAGGGTCTTTAGTATACTTTGTACATGAATTTTAAGATCAGCTTGTCAATTTCTACAACAAAAGGTAAGTTGGGCTTCTGATAGGTACTGCATTGAGTCTGTAGATCAATTTGGAGTATCACCATCTTAACAGTATTGTGTTCTCAATCCATAAACATGAAATGTCTTTTCATGCATTTCTTTCAAGGTTTTATACTTTTTAGGGTGCAAGTTGTTTTCTTTTATTAACTTTACTAGAGGCCCAGTGCACAAATTCATGCACGGGTGGGGTCCAGTTGGCCTCGCCCCCAAAAGGGGTGGATGGGGTCGATTGGGGGCGGGGCCAGCTGGGGGAAGGAGCCAC